TATGTATGTATGTATGTATGTATGTATGTATGTATGTATGTATGTATGTATGTATGTATGTATATATATATATATGTATGTATATAGATACCTGCAGTTCACTCCTGGACTCCTTTGCCTAAAAGCTGAGAGGCGTCCACTTCCTGATAGGTCAATCCCTTTTAGCAAATTCACTTGAACAAGTTCACTAAAGTTTGCTTTCCCTTTCAATCCAAAGAAATGGGGCTCCTGGGCTACATCAAAACTTCCTTTTGAGATGACTTTTCCTGGGTGATGCGCCGCTCCAATGCTCCAAGTGGCGACTGGTTTTGCTTCAGTTTGTAGCCGCTCACAAGGGCGAGAAGAGAAACCTGCTGATCGAGGGAGCACCCCACGATCGAATCTCCATCGATGGACCCCCACAGCAGCGCAGGGCGGAAAGAATTCTCCACTTGAAGCAATTCTGAAGCCTTGTATTCTCAAATAAGGCTCAGGTCTGTTCGTTGGCAAGCCCAACCCAACTGCAAGGTTCTTCTCAGCAAGTGCTCAGGTTCAGGTTTGCTGTGAGTGTCATCCCTGATCGCTCTGCTATATTCTGCTATCAGTCTTTTCCAGGGACTTCTCGCAAACGAAACAGATTCAGGCACGGGTCCAAGACCGTCCAAGACCATCCCTCCCAACGCTTACAGTCTGAAAAGGGGCTTACCTGTCAGGTTCGAAGGAGTTAGGCTTCTGCAGGAATCTGCGCACGACCCAAGCGAATCCTGCCTGAAGCACCTTGCGCATCATGGCTCTGCTTGGACTTCAGGTCGCTACGTTGGGTAAGGGGGATGAGTGGGATGACGGACAAAATGCCCGTCAAGTCCCGATGAGCTACGAATAGCTGCTGAGCCAAGTTGGCCGTCGGCCGAATCAGATCTGTTCGTCTGACAAGAAAGCCTGACCTGCCTTGGGGAGGTCCGAATGTGTCTATTGAAACAGGTCCCAAGTTGCCTGTGAAAGTACAACAAAGTCGGTCATCTCCAAAAGCTACAACTGAATACAGCCATCGTCCATCCTGATCAAATCCCAGACGCGTCGGTGCCTCGATGGTCTCCATGGGCAGTCGCTCAATATCCAACTGCCAGAGCGCAGGGATGCAGCTTTATCAAGCCAGGGTGACACTACACCAAAACGGCAGAAGACCTGTCCACGGCTTGGTCATGATCAAAGTCGGAGGCCTGGTGGGTTGCTTGAAGGTCAGGATAATTACAGTAAGCATTCAAGTACAGTATTCAAGCTCTTTTCCAAGTTCGGAACACTGGTTGGAACCGTGTCTGTTTGGCGCCGTTGCCAGCACCAAGTTTCACTTGCATGGCAGTGCCCACTGAAATGGCGAAGTTGGCACAACCTTTTCTGCTTAGATCGGGACACAACCAAGGGAATTTTGCAGTTCCAACTGTCGTGGCTGCCACGTTCTCAAAGGGACAGCAAAGTACAAACAAAGTAGAGACTACTTTGCAGTGATTGTTTAAATCTCGACTTGTGCTTCCCCTTTTCACAGCAACTTTTCTACTTCTTTCTCCTATCTTATCTCTACTCTTCCTTACTACTAACCACAACTACAACTACAACTACAACTATAACTTCAACTACTACTACTACTACTACTACTACTACTACTACTACTACTACTACTTCTACCCCTACTCCTACTCATACTTCTACTTCGGGAGAAGGGAGAAGAGATGAGCAAGAAAGAAAGTAAAAGGAAACACAAAAAGCAGAGAAGAAGCAAAGAAGGGAAAAAGCAGGAGAGGCAAAGTATACTCTTTTGAGTGGGACACCAGCACACATACTGTAAGCTTGGGCATGTCCCGCAGAGTCCTTGTGGAATCTTGCATTGACATTTGATGGCAATCAAAACAAACATTGATTATAAAACAAAGGAGCACACAGTCTGGATGGACAACTGCAGAGCTTGGCACGGTTTCACTTCACGTTCACTCCATTCTTCTTCACCAACTCGGCGGCTTAAGCAAAGCCGATATTGTTTGCTCTTGCTGGTGTCTGTAGTTGGCCAAGGTTTTCTGCAGGGGCCTTCTTGGATATCTCATCTATCAACAACTGTACCAAAACTGGGCCACAACTTCCCCTAAGCCGTTGGAGCCGGCCCGTGGGCCACGAAAAACACTGCCCCAATCCTCGTACGAAGCGGAGATTGCTGCAGCCACCTGACGGATGGAAGCTAACGGAGCACGTTCAAAGAAATTCTGCAGCGCCCTCGTGGAAAAACAGGTGGCCCCGCTGTGTCTGCCCTTTTCTGTGAGGTTACAGAATGGGTCGTAAAAACAGAAACAGGTGGAAGAAACCAGAAACATGCGGCTTCATATGCAAAACTCCCCTCACCTCGGCGACATTCCGCGCCCTCCGCAGCAGCTGTGCCATCTGTTCGTGCTTGGAACGTAGGCGAACCTGCCAGGAACGTGTCCATGCTGTGAGGCGCACAGGATCCATGTTGACGGTGTCCATAGTGGCTCCAAGACCATTCCAGCTGTTTGGTAAAGAACCCATGGATCAAAAAAACTATGCTTGTTGGAACAGCAACTGAGGTAGATCGCCTCGCATGTCCCAACCATGACAACCTGTGTCACAAGCATTTTGAGGCAGTTTCACGTAGGATAAGTAGGACGCCCTAATCATCACCTGACCTATTTGTTGTCTGGACATTGTTTCCATGGCCCCAACAAAAGCACGTGACACACTTGGTCATCAAGTCAAGAGCCTTTCTATGGTGGTACTTTGGCACCCGCAAAGTACTCAACAAGCCACCAATCTTGCACAATATCTTGCTTTTGGACCAGGTTGGCCTCGGCTCTTCGGGCATCGTAGTCCCACCTGAACGCCAAAAAGTGCAAATAAAAACATCACTGACGCTGAGGCGCCCAAACAAGCCGATTCCTCCGACATGAAATCCCAGCTCCTTCAAAGCTTTCACCTTTGAGTAGGTTTGGGCCGCACTCTTGAAGGCCCCCTGAGCTTCCTTGCTCATTGGCACGGGTGCCGAAGAAGAGCTCAAAGTCCTCTTGTCAAGGATGGGAGAACTGCAACAAATGCTTCAGGTGGCTCTTCAATTGTTCGCATCCAAGATCATCCAAACACTTGAAAATGCCTGACGTATAGCGCGATTCGCTGGTCCTCATCAGCCCAGATTGGCTTCTTCTGCACCTCGGCCGGGATTCAACCCCCGCCCGACGGATCTGCAGAGCTCGTGGGACGGACCGGTCGTCGCCGCTTGGGGTCAAAGGTGCTAGTAGCTTCTTGTCACTAGTAGCAAGAATGCTACTAGTAGTAATGCCCTTTGTTACTAGTAGCGATGCCGCTTCTTGCTACTAGTAGTGTTGCCAGGAGCTACTAAGTAGCGTCCTTGCCCGGAAAGTTTCAAGCTTCAAAGCACCTTGCAACAAAAAACCTCCAGCGTCCCTTTCCAACGAACGCTGCCGGTCCAGGTCGTGGACATTTTCGAAGTAGAGCCGAACGTTCTTATCTTGGCCTTGGGATGTGGCTTTCGTGGCTCTAATGGTCGCATAGCTGCGGTGTGCCAAGTGAACCCCAATCTGCCCACAGTCCTGCCATGGTCCTCTAAATGCCATAGAAACTCTGCCATTGCCGTATAGAAGAAAGGACAGACTTCACTAACAAATCAAATGACTGGAAAATAGCCATAGGAGCCCTTCAAGATTCCATCTGGGATCCTGGCGGAGATCGTCCAGAGACACCTTGCTTAGCTGGATGTGCTCGTTAAAACTGCTTCCAGAGACTTAAAGTATGACCCACAAGAAGAAAGTTGTTTCTTGCATATGCTGTTTGACTCTCCGAGTCGCAATGGAGCCCGACAAGAAAGGAGAACCCTAAACTTAGCAATACTGAAAGCCTGTGGATCAAGCACCATTCCGGCGTGAATATCGAAAAGTGGGCCCAAGTCGTCTATGTTCATTCACTCTTGAGTTTATTCACCCACACGGACGGTGTGGCTCAGTCCACGAGTTCGACAAGATGTTCAGCTAAGATGTTTAAGTGGCGCACATATTTCTGCTGGCCGCCAAGCTTCGTCACGGCCGGAGTCAGCACCTGGAAGGGCACCCATGGTTGAAATTACTGATGACAAAAAACTCCGGAATGACTACGGAATGACTATTTCTGTATCAAAAGCACTGCCAAGACTGCAGCTGCCAAAATCACGGGTTTTTCTGAAGGGCTCTATACAAATATATAATTGGATAGATATTCTATGGAATCAGTAGAGCCCAACCAGAACCATCTGAAACTCGACGTTCACCCCTGCAAGCTACTTGCTGGTTTTGATCTTGAAGCGCTGCCAACCTCCTCCACCGTGATGTACTGGAACATTTTGGCATAGTCCACTAACCTTGGAATAAAGGTACCCTATGGACTTTCAAGAGGGGAAACAACAAGGCAAACATCTAAAGCTTTACGATGCCTGTACTTGAAGGAATCGAAGCATCCCGGATAAACAACTTGCGATGCGGGTATGCGGGGGCCAAACCTCGGCCGTTCAGACTGAATCGTGTGACACCACACGCGGGAATCTTGAAAATGTAAGACCATGAGTTGCAGGAGAAGAGTAGCGATTCGGGAAACCGGGAAACGAGTCAGGAAACTTTGGCTGGAAACGCGCGGAAGGACAGGAGATCTAGAGATGTGAAAGTATGAAAGTATGAGTCAGGAAAATTGAGCGGGAAACGTGGGAATTCGGAATGTCTTGTAAATTTGCAGGTTTGGAAGTATGAAAGTCAGGAAACTAAACTTGAGCACAATGTGTGAGAGCGAGAGCGAGAGCGAGAGCGAGAGAGAGAGAGAGAGGGAGAGAGGGGGGGGCGAGCAGCCAGGAATGTCTAAAAAAGTTTAAAATACGAGTCAGGAAAACATTCTGCTTCCTCGAAGGATACAGAACATGCTTCTTTCTTACTGAAGGCCCGATAGCATCCAAAGCGTGCACTGCGCACCCTCTGCTTGGTCCACTCTCAAAGTTTTGGAAAGCTCGCTGATGAACATTTCTTGTAGGTTATCGGTATCTACTGTATGTAAGTCTTGTAAGTTTAGGTCCTTCCCTGACAACACTTCAAATACTGCAATGTGGTTTTCCTTTTTGTGCCGCCATCCAGCAAAAGAACATGTGTTTTTCGACGCATGTTGTTCAGGGCTCAAATAGCTGTTAGATAGCAGAATCTTTGTAGCCCCAGTGCACCCTGGTGCACGGTTTCCGGCTGCGCAATTGCTGCGTCGCCGACTTGGCATCGGAGAGCTAGAAGGCAACGCGCGGTTGCCAGGGCTTTCCTCCATAGGTCCTACCAGCGGCCTTCGCTGTCTGGACCTGCCAGGCTACGGTTCCTGTCCTATAAGGACTTGCTGGAAAGGCATCACTCACGGCCTTTCTACCGGCTCCATCCAATCTTGGAGAAGGAGAGAATGTCATGGAATGCATGGCAAGGGTACCAACGCTGGGAGAAGCCCAAGTACAAGAAGGAAAAGGACAAGCCAGCAGCGGACCCCAAGAAAGACAAGGTCAAGGCAACCTTCGTCGGCTACGACGGAAAGCCAACAGAGGTGCTCGAAGAATCCCATGGCTTTGTGCCCTCATCCTCATCGGCTACCTCAGCCGAAGCGGCCTTGAAAGAGGAGAACAAGCTCCTCAAGGAAGCGATGAGGAAGATCAAGGAGAGCAAGGAATCTCAGGTTGTGGACGAGCCGGAGATTGCCACGCTTCTCGAAAAGAACCCAAGAGAAGATATCAAGGAGAGACAGAAACTCCTGAACCAAGAGAGGAAGACAGTCAATCGTGTGGAAAAAATCAAAGCCTCCATTGCCGAAGAAGAGAAACGATTTGCTTCCTGGAAAAGGTACATGGAGACGGGCCTCAAGCAAGAGGAGCACCGACATGGATCGGCGCTGAAGGAGCTCTATGTGGAACTCAAAGAGGCCGAGAAATCCGGGAAGGAGACGGATGCATCAATGGAAGCTCCTGGTACCCCGCAAGCCGAGGAATTGCAGGAAGTCAAGAGTCAGCTGCACGATTTCATGACTTACGCAGCTGCGATGGAGAAACGACAGCTGCAAATGGCCGAACAGATGACGATGATGTTTGGAGCAATGCAAGCAGGTTTCTTGGGACATCATCCCAACTCTCCGCAGCACCCTTTCACCTCAGGAGATGGATCACGGAAGCCAGAGGGGGACCCAGAGAACAGTCTGGGACGGAGCGACAGATCGAGGTCGAGCAAGAGGGAGAGGGAAGAGATCGAAGAAGAGCAAGACGAAGAGTGGTTGCAGCAGGAGATTCCGCCAGAGGAAATCACAGCAGAAGTTGCTCGCCTCAACGAGCCAACTCAGACGATGGTCCTTCAGTACATGAAAGACCAGCCTTTATGCTGCAAGACAAGGAAAGATTTCGGACAGCTTGTGCAAAAGATGGAGCGAGGGGAAGATTTCCACCTCGGGAAGATCCTTTTGCCTATGAGCAATGCAAGGGCTCTCATGCCTTTTGGCAAGGCCCCACGAGAGAAACAGAAGGAAGGTGCATCGCCATACCATACGCCACCGATGCCAAAACAGCGGCAACGGTGGAAGTCACCAGCCAGGGAGGACCACCTCGAGGTCATGGACTCCTGAGTGCGCCTGAGAAGCAATCGACCTTTTGCGCCAACTTTAGAGGCTGCAAGGTCCCTTTTCAATCACGACATAAGTCAGGTTTGGTAGCCCTAGTCCTAGATGGGCTGCAAACCTTTTCAAGATTTGGTAGCGAGATTTTTGAATCGCACTTCCAAGTCTGCGTTTTTGATCTATGGGATCCTTCCTTTTGGGGTGGTTTTGAGCTGAGAAAGGACATGTTCAGACAGGATGCTCTGCTGGCAGCCGAATCTGAGAGTGTATCTTGGGTTTCGGCCTTTTCCAATGCAGCAATTGCTTTTGTCTTGAGGCAATGCCTTTTTCTCATTTGGTCTGGAGTGTTAGTGGGTCTTGCACTGAAGGGCCATGAAGTAATCCAGAAAGCCCGACGAAGCTGTACGAGATTGCCGAGTAAGGATTTGCTTTGGCACATGCTATATTACCAGGTCGCCGCCACTTTCCTCAATGGACTAGTGCTTGAGATGATTCCTTGGGGGGTAAGTGAATCGTCAAGTATATCTTTTGCGATATTCGCATTTCGCATACAAGGGGGGCCTTAGTCTTGTGGTTGGTAGGCTGATCTTTTCTTTGAGTAGAAGCCTTCCATCGTATCCCCGAAGAGCCGCCAAGATAGGCCAGCAACGCACAAGCACGAAGCGACCACGTGCTTGCCGGGTAAAGTGGAAAGGAGTTTTGCTTTTGTGCAACGTTGTGTGTGCACAAGCGATTCCTATGCTCCCTTACGGAAGCGGTCCTTGACTGGTGGAATTTTCTTCCACTTGTCCCAGCCTACCAGAGCTTTGGACTGCAACAGACCACAGATGTGCTCTCCCAACCTTGTGGAGCCACTGGAACTAGAGGTGATGATGACCCACACCAAGAAGGTTTTGGCAAAGACGGCAAAGGAGCCAATTTTGTAGGAAGTAGTGAGAGTGACAATCACGTCTTACCCGTCCAATTTTGTGTTGAGGCTTCCAAGACACTGTCTTTTTGCCAAGGCAAAGCAGCCCAAGTTTTGTTTGGCCACTTTTTGACCTTGAGAGCCACACCAGATGGTTGCAGGGATACAGTGGAGACCAAGACCGATCTGATTCTACACCCGATTTCGAAGAAGACGATCTGAGTGGGCTGATGCAACGATTTGTGCAGCCTGCTCCAGACCTGCATCTGAGCCATGTGCTTGGGTTCCAACCAGAAACGCATTTTCAAGTTGAAACTTGGCTGCACACATGGGACAGAAGGGGCAGTTGGGCATACTGCCACAAAAGCCTGTTGATTAATACAAGAGAGCTGGTACGCACTCAGATCCTCCGGAATTGGAGAAGCCATCAAGTGCGACCGACAGTGACCCTTGTCCCTATTCGCCCACAGCCTGATCATGCTTACGATAGACGACCGGTATTTCTGCTCCTGCCTGTATGCATCGATTCATGGACCGGTTTTTTGGCCGTTGCTCGTACGCCAACACAACACATGATTGGCACCTTCTTGCTTGAAACGCATGGTCTCCCTCTAGTCTCGGCAGTTTTTGCAGCAACAATGCCAGCGAACCAATGTGTTTGGTTCACTAACTGCTGGGCTGCCATAGGAGGAAGAGCCTATGATTTCTTTGCGCGTTTGCCGCTGTTTGAAGGTGCTTATGTGAAACTGTACGAGGCACAACCGGACCCCTCCAGTGCTGACACCACATGTACAAATCATAGTGAGAGTGCAAGCAGCTCCGGAGGTACATGGCCTGAACTGGAAGATCAACCAGGAAGCCACCGTGAACTAGATCCTACAGGGAGGGAAAACACTGCAACCCTGACGCAATTTGAGGGTGAAGAGCCAGAGGAAGCTTTTTTTGATGCAAAGGAACAGCCTTGCTGCAAGCCAACCTGCATCTTCACCACTCAGGGCAGTATATATCCAGGCCTATGGCCAGCCGACTGATCCTGTTCGAGAAGCTTTCTATGCAAACTTTGACCAACAGGAAGAAATGGCGATCAGTATAGACACATATCTTCACCCGATCTCATGGACGGTGATTCGAATGTCTATCACCATTAAAGTGCCAGCCCAAGGCCATCTTACAGACCAAATACTGCAAGAGTGGCAATGCCAGACGCCAGACTTGATGGGGTTCTTTGTATACCCAACGCCAACGAGAGGCCTTCGACGGTCTGCAATACCTATCCTTCTGCTGAAGTCCACCCATGATGCCCACCTGACGGTGGTTTACGTGGCTCTGCAAGTGATGCCATATACGAGAGCCAGCTTGCAAATACTGGATGGCACAACAGTCCGCGAATTGGTGGGCTTGATTCTTGGACGCAATCCAGATCCCCATGAGCCCTTTGTTGCCAGAGATATGGGGAGGCCGCACCTGACATACACCCTCCTCCAACAGCTGCACGTAAGAGACGGTGCATACCTGATTATCTATCGGCAGAGGCAAGATGGTCGCTGTCGCGATGAGATTCCAGATCGTGCTTTGGCCGAAGAGGAGGTGTCTATGATGCAGCGGTATGGATACCATCGATGGGAAGGCCCATATGCCAATTGGCATTATGCGGCTCAACCTCTCCCAATTTGGCAAGAAATTGATGCCATCCTGCAAGGTCTTGGTGGAAGGAAGGTATCAGTGCTGACATATGGAGTCAGAGCAAGACATGTAGAAGCTCGACGACTTGATATCTACAGACAAAATTCCGGCAATACACCACATCTGATCCAATGCCTGCGGACTTTGTGGAGTGATAA